CATATTTTGGGTCGCGCGATGCGCGAGGGGGTAATGCCCAATTTAGGTGTTGAATATATTTTATTTTTGTACAACACATCATAAGAGTGTTGAGTGTGGTACAATGTAAGAGTGTTGAGTGTGTTACAATGACATATTTAAGAATGAAATTTTAATTAAATGCAATATTGTTTTTAAAAAGTGGGATAAGTCATACTCGTAGAAAAAACTCAGTATTCATTGTGGAAGTTGAATGTAAGTGTGATATTTTAAAAAGAACTTATTTAGTGAGTATGCCAAAAGTATGCCAAAAAGTACTATCTTCATAATATGCAATTTGCCAAAAGTGAGTGTAAAGTTAGTGAAAATGAGTGTAAAGGTAAATAAGATTCATTTAAGTGAAAATATAACATGCATTAATCCATTACAATAGTCATACTGTCATAACATAGGCAAATTATAGCAACAACGATGAAGTCTATGGAAATAAAATGTTAAATGAAGAAGATGTAGGGTAAAGTCAAATGAAAGGAATAACAATAATTAAAAGACAATGTATAGGTTTCATGTAAAAAAATTAAAGCGTTGGTGAGTTGACAGGGCGGAGTGATGGTTTCAAGTGAATGGCCTGAATGGGTCCTTTGATGTTTCTGTGAGGGGGCAATTCAGTTGTGTTAGTGCTTGGGCACATCTCATTTGTAGGATTTTCTGCAGCCTTTTTCGACAGGTGGTGAGAAGAGTCATACAAATGGTAACTGTATAATAGGAAAATTGCAAATGTGTTACTCTCTTTTGTTTAATCTGCCATAGGAAAAGGAATATGAGCTCTTTTAAAAGCATCACAAGAGAAATACCAGCCTAATCAACTTTTTACTTTTCAGTTTGGTAAGTGAAAGCCCTAAAGTTACCGACTTAATAGGGAAGGAGAATGTCCTTAGATACATTGACATTTCCCATGTTCTTTTTGAGCTATATGGCTCTTACTACATGTCCCGGTGTTAATTTTAAATGATAACGGGTCATCGACGGTACACAAGTATCGCATAACATCATACATTGAAAACATTTTTCAGACTAATACACTGTCAATAAAATTGCACACCTTTCACGATGAAAACTTTCTTCTGTGAAGTAGAAAAGAACCCTTGTAGCAAAAAAATCAATGGTAAAATCAACATCTTAAACCATTGATGTTTTGGAAACTCAATGCTCTAATAATTAACCAATATACTCTTAACTAAATTAACCACCTGCATTGATTTCAGAAAGAAAATTATATGCATTTTCAGTCAAAAAAATGTCCACCATGATAAAATTAGGACATTTATTCTTAAGCATGGCACAATGGGATAAAAATGATATTAAGTTGGTGTTCTCATAGAACTTTAAGTATATAAAAAAATGTCTTTGATGTCAAGCCTGCATCAACATGTCCCAGCAGCTCTACATTCTTCCCATCAAAACACAAAACATTAGAAGCAGTACCTTTCAAATACCTCATGATCCACTTCACAGCTTCCCCGCCTTCCCGATGTTCTTTCCCGGAATCTTCCATGTATCGGCTCACTACTCCCACCGCATGTGCAATGTCTGGCCTTGTGCATACCATAGCGTACATGATGCTGCCAATTGCCGAGGCGTATGGGACATTCTGCATTTGAGCACGCTCCTCTTTGTTCTTTGGCGAATCTTCCTTGCTAAGCTTGAAGTGACTACCCAGTGGTACACTTGCTGCTTTTGCATCTTGCATTGTGAATCTTTCCAGGACCTTCTGAATGTATTCTGCCTGTGAAAGATACAATATGCTCGATGCCTCGTCCCTCTCGATTCGCATGCCCAAAATCTGCTTTGCCTCTCCAAGATCCTTCATGGAAAAACGTTCTGACAACTGTTTCTTTAGCTTTTCAATCTCCTTTGCTAGCTCCTGCAATCAACATATCATCAACATATATAACAGCAAGATAAGATATCAGTTCTCGGTCTTCTTGTAGTAGCAGCAATTGTCGGTGTGGCATCTCAATAAATTTATGTCTCTCATCAAACCATCAAATTTCTTGTACCATTGCTTCGGTGCCTGCTTCAACCCGTATAAGCTCTTCACTAGCTTACATACGAGTTGCTCACTGCCCTCTGCCACATAGCCTTCTGATTGCACCATGTAAATCTCATCATTCAAATCACCATGAAGGAATGCAGTCTTCACATCCATCTGATGTAACAACAAATTCTCTGAAGCAATTAACCCCAACACTAACCGAATGGTAGTTAGTTTCACAACTAGAGAGAATATGTTGGTATAATCAATACCATAACGATGCTCGAACCCCTTCACAACTAACCTAGCTTTGTAGCGTTTGCTACCATCTGCCTTCTTCTTGATGCGGTAGACCCACTTGCAGTGCAAAGCCTTCTTTCCTCTCGGTAGCTCAACTAACATCCAAGTATCATTGGATGTGAGAGATGCCATCTCATCATCCATTACAAGTTTCCAATTGCCCTTGTCATCAACCTGAACTGCCTCTGCATAGAACTCCGGTTCACCACCGTCAGTAACAACAAATAGAAATTAGAAGGCGAATACCTATTTGGTGCTCTCCCGTTTCTGGCAGGCCGCTGACTTTGTGGGGTTGATGGATATCCATCATTACTCAACTCTTCATTCTGATCCTGCTTGCTCCCACCCGAATTAGAGATATCCAACTCTATGATCTTCGGACTTTCTTGCTCAGAATCAGGTGCATTCAATCTATCCTTATACATAACCTGCTCGTTGAACACTACATCTCGGCTACGAATAATCTTCCTATTCTGATCATCCCAGAATCTGTATCCATAGTCATCACCACCATAGCTAACGAACGTACACTTGACAGATTTGGCATCTAGCTTGCTTCGGTCAACGAAACTGATATGAACATAAGCAACACAACCAAATATGCGGAGATAGGACAGATTAACCTCCTTACCCGTCCACCTTTCTTCAGGTATGCCATTCTCCAGCAGATCGTTGGACTTCTGTTGATGAGAAAAGCCGCGGGGTTCACTGCATCTGCCCAAAACATCTTCGGTAAGCCACTCTTCAACCTCATGCATCTTGCCCGCTCATTCAATGTTCTGTTCATGCGTTCAGCAACGTCATTATGCTGCGGAGTCCCATTTGTTGTCTTCTCCATACGAACCTCATTCTCAGCACAAAACTTCTTGAACTCGTGCAGCTCATACTCACCTCCGTTGTCAGACCAAAGGCACTTCAACTTCAGACCTGTCTCCGTCTCAACAAGAGCTTTTTACTTTCTGAAAGCATCAAAGGCATCAGATTTATTTTTGAGAAAATAAACTCATACCTTTCTTGTGGTATCATCAATAAAGGTCATGTAGTAGGCGGATCCTCCCAAGGATGTAACTTCTGCAAGTCCCCAAAGGTCGGTGTGAACTAGTTCCAGCTTCTTCGGTTTAATAGCTCTTCTTCCCTTCGAGAAACTGACACGTTTCTGTTTCCTGAATATGCATTCCTCACATAAGCCAACCTCAACGGTCTTCAGGCCGTGCAGTTTGCCCTTCGAGCACAACTCCTTCATCCCCTTTTCGCTCATGTGACCGAGACGACAGTTCCACAAATTCACATCGTTTGTTGCAGAGGCAGCAACATCGATGCAGTCCTTCGAGTTCTTTGTCATGTAAAATGTACCCTCCTTCTTCCCTTTAGCAACCAGCAAAGCTTCCTTGGTGATCTTCCAATTTCAACTGTCGATTGTAACTGCATAACCTTCCTCATCCAGTTGCCCAATTGAAAGAAGATTCCTTCTCAAATCGGGAATATGTAGGACTCCATTCAGTTTCAGCATGCATCCGTTCGGAGTCTTCACGATGTACCCTTTCCGACAATTTTAAGAGGCTCATCATCAGCAAGATACACCTCTCCAAAATTGTCGGGAGTATAGTGTTCCATCACTTTAGCATTATCACATGAATGGAACGAAGCTCTAGAATCCAGAACTCATGACTCCAACGGACTGCTCATGCTCAGGATCAGAAGATCATCACTAAATAATTCTGTCGCTGCATTGGCTGATGTCTTCTCCTTCTGATCCTTGATCTGCTCCTTGCACTGGCTCTTGAAGTGTCCGTACTCCTCACAGTTCCAGCATTTGATCTGACTTCTGTCCTTCTTGCCCTTGTTGTTTGACTTGGATCTGAATCTTGATCTATCCCGATTTGACTTGGACTTCGACTTCGACTTCGTTCTACCCCTGCTCTTTGTACTCAACGTCGATCCAGAAGCCAAGTCTGATTCCTTCCTGCGAATTTCTTCGCTAACCACCAGATTTCTGACTTCATCGAATTTCAGTTTCTCTTTCCCTGCCGAAGCGCTGACTGCAGTCACCGTTCCGTCCCAGCTTTCCGGGAGAGAAGACAGCAGAATAAGGGCATGAATTTCGTCGTCGAATTTTATCTCAACCGCGCTCAATTGTGTGGTGATTACATTGAACTCGTTGAGATGATCCACCACTCCCGTACCTTCTGACATCTTCAGGTTAAAAAGACGTCTCATCAGATGAATTTTGTTCACAGCGGAAGGTTTCTCGTACATATTCGACAAAATCTGCAACATCTCCTTCGTCGTTTTTGCTTTGACGGTGTGTAGGGCGATGTTTCTGGACAGCGATAATCGCACCACGCTCATCACTTTTCTGTCCAGCAACTTCCAATCGCTCTCCTTCATGTATTGCGGCTTATCATCCAGAGGTTGATACAGATCTTTACCGTACAGGTAATCTTCGATCTGCAACTTCCAGAATCCGTAATCCGTTCCGTCAAACTGCATCACCGGTGTCATCAAATTATCTGCCATCGTGAGATCTCCCTTCGAACCTAGGGCTCTGATGCCAATTGTTAGGAATTACACTCACGCACACGAAGAACAATTAAAGAACACATGATGTCACGCCCCGGACCTTCCCGGACACGTCAACAACCCGCCGTACAATACGAATAGTCAACCGCAGTCCAACACATTCATATTATACAAGGCGTCATGAATATCATTCACACATAAGTCATCCATAAACAACATAATAAGTAATTCATAAAGCAGCGGAAAACATTGTTTAAAACGAAAGAGCCACACAGGGCTATTCATGAGCACGCAGGCTCTATAATAAAATATCCATGAGCAAATTTATTAATGTTTCAAATAGAATGGAGGAAGCACGAACCAAGTCTTCTCTCCGAGGAATCACTCGATCAACGAGCACAGGATGCAAGCTCTAGCCTCAACCTGAAATGGTGGTGGGACGCCCCCGAAGGGGTCAGTACTCTATACGGCTATAAAGTACTGGTGTGGCAGGCATCTAATAGATATACAACAAGTATTTCAAACACAAGACCCTCAAATAGGGTGATAGTACATTATGATTGTAACCCTAAGTTACCCCGTTTAAAAATATACTTACTTTATATAAAAGTCAAGTAGTCGGCCCGTGGGCCCGTTTTCATTTGGAAATCACCATTCCCAACCCCGTGGCTATAAGCCACGACAACTCCTAGAGTCCAACCCTAGTACATGACATTGTATTCTAGAGCTCGGCTCTACTACATCACCATACAATTCATATACCTCGGGTCAATTTCCTTACCTTGCGTTCTAGAGCTCGGCTCTATTACATCACCACGCAAGTCCTAGAGCTCGGCTCTAGCTATACAATACATAGACTCCAAGTCTACACCTTACATGCATTCTAGAGCTCGGCTCTATTACATCACCATGCATTAAGGTCCAATTCTCAAGCAACCCTATGCCTAGAATTGACATATCATTAAACTACTTTGGGTCATCCTTAAAGACTTCCCATAACTTAACCTTAGTTCCAAACTAAGTTATTATATACACTTGAACTATATTCAAGTACCTTTCATACAATCCAATCCCTAGGATCAATTTAATCAACAGGTCCCAATAATCACTAACTAGTATTTCAATACTATTAAGATTATTGTTATCATACCATTATCCTCATTATTTGTAATTCTCTACATATTTATAATTATGTAGCAGCAACTTAAGTATTCAATCTCAATACACAAATATTTATTTATGTATCCACATAATCCATACATGAGCAAAATGCCCATTTTCACAAAATAGTTCATTTATACTCATTTAATCTCATATTACTCATACCTTCTCAAATCATTTCAAATTTCATTCCTTGGCAACTATATCAGTATTTCATCAATATATAATCATCATAATCCATGAAAAATCATGATTTAAGCATTTAGGTAATCTCATGCTTAACCTACAAGTTGTAAGCAATTAGATGTCAATCCTCACCTCAATTGAGCTTTAAACTTTCCCTTCTTGGTCCAATGGTCAAATCTTTGGTCAAGGTGGATTTGGGACTGATTCCTTGCTCAAATATGAGTGTTAAACAGCCTCCTCAAAGTGCTAGTTCAACCCTTAATCGTTGATACGAAAACAGCCCCTAGAACGGGTGTTTTCCGGCTAACTCGATTCCTAGTTTTCCAATATTTGCATCTAGGTTAGTATCTAACCTTTACATCAATAAGATAACTTTTTAGGGACATATTATACACTTGGATTAGTGTATAATAGTCTCACCAATCGTTCATATCATTTGGAGAATGAAAAGTAAAGCTTTGGGGTTAAAACTCACTTTAGAAGATTAAATCCTCTCCTGCGAGGTTGTGTTTTGCTCGGACGATTTGGAAGCCTTCCACAACTCCGATTCCTGCAAACCAGACCTTCACGGATTCCTCGTCTTGAGAGCTTTCTGTGGGTATCTCACACGCCTTAATTGGACTTGTAAAACTCGAGATATCGACCAAACAGTCTCAGCACTCTCACAGCTCGAGTTCACAGACCTTTGCTCGTTCCAGCTCGATTTTTGCAAGATAAGCCTTCTCTCCTCGAACAAAGACCACTCAATTGAGATAATAGACTTCAAAGGCTATCCAAGGACACCTCATACACGTTATTTGGTTGAGGATAGCTCCTATAATGAGAGGAGACAAACAGCACACCAATTTGTGCGAAAATAAGAGTGGTGGCCCCAAACTTTGATTCTTATCAAGTCATGTGCAGCTCTTCTCCATAATGGCCGGCCAAGGTAAGTCTCCTAACCCATTTTTATTTGTTTTGCAGGTACTAATACCATGTGGAGTGGTTCCCAATTGATCCCATTAAATTTGGGGTCCAAAATATCTACCAATACTTCCAAAAAATTGGGAAGATGGGTCCTATTGTTTTATCTTTGTCAAAGATGTCTTTTTGTACTCATCCTAATTTATTTAGAACAAGTCAACTTCCTAAATCACATTATTGATCTCCAATATGTGTAGGCTCATCCCAATAATTTACACGATGAAAATTACAAAAGAATGCGGGTTTGAACAATACAATATTCAATCATGTACTTCGTAAAATATTAATCGTTTCTCCCATTGTTTTGAAATTGGAAATTCAATACATCACTTTTGAATTTTTAAATCGAATTTTCAAGGACGTTCGGGTGCGGTGTCACAAGTTCACCCCCCCTTAACAGGAATTTCGTCCCCGAAATTCACAGCTCTACTCGAATAGGAAAGCATACTGCTTCCTCATCAAAGCCTCCGTTTCCCATGTCTCTTCCTCGACCCGATCGCTCTTCCACAGGACTTTAACCATTGGGACTTCTTTGCTCCTCAGCTTCTTCACCTTTCTATCGGTGACCTTGATAGGTTGAACAGCGTAGTTCAAATCCTCACGTACCTCTACAGGTGGCTTCTCTAGTACGTGAGAGGGATCATGCACATACTTCTTAAGCATGGATACATGAAACACATTATGTATCTTCTCTAACTCAGGAGTCAACTGTAGACGATATGCAACGGCCCCAATCCTCTCTATAATTCTGAATGGACCTATATATCGTGGGTTAAGTTTTCCTCGGGTTTGGAACCGAATGATCCCTTTCCAAGGAGAAACTTTCAAGAATACCTCGTCATCAACCTTAAACTCTAAGGTTCTTCGACGCTTATCTGCATAACTCTTTTGTCTATCCTGAGCCGCCTTGAGTCTCTCTCGAATCAACTTCACCTTTGATTTGGTGACCTCAACCAACTCAGTACCCTCGAGTTTGGCCATGCCAACCTCGTCCCAGCATAACGGTGTACGGCACCTCCTCCCATACAATGCCTCGTATGGAGGCATGCCGATGCTTGCCTGATAACTGTTGTTATAGGCAAACTCCACAAGTGCTAAGTGGTTGTCCCAACTTCCCTGGAACTCCAATGCACAAGCCCTCAGCATGTCTTCTAGGATCTGAATAACCCTTTCAGACTGCCCATCCGTCTGTGGATGGAAAGCAGTGCTGAACTTCAACTTCGTTCCCATAGACTCCTGGAATTTCGGCCAAAAACGTGATGTGAATCGTGGGTCTCTATCAGATACAATGGTCACCGGGACCCCATGCAGCCTCACGATCTCATCCGTATACAATTTGGCTAACCTCTCAAGTGGGTAGGTAGTGTTGATAGGCAAGAAGTGTGCACTCTTTGTGAGCCTATCCACAACGACCCAAACCGCGTCATAGTTCCTGATAGTCCGTGGTAAGCCTACCACGAAATCCATAGTCACGTGCTCCCACTTCCATTCAGGGATGGAGAGTGGTTGCAATAAGCCTGCTGGGTGCTGATGTTCTGCCTTAACTTGTTGACAAGTAAGGCACCGACTGATGTACTCGGCTATTTCCCTCTTCATTCCAGACCACCAGTAACTTTCCTTCAAATCACGGTACATTTTCGTGCCCCCCGGGTGCATGGCATAAGCCGATGAATGAGCCTCCTCTAAGATGGACTTTCGGAGCTCATCATCTGACGGTACACACACTCGGTCACGAAATAACAAGAGACCATCATCTCTTTCCCTGAAATCCTCCACCGGCCCCGCTTGCATGCGTTCCCGGACCTTCATAAGTTCTTCGTCGGCTTCCTGACCCTTCTTGATCTCATCAAGTAAAGTGGGTCTCACCTCAAATCGTGCCAATAAGGCACCATCGCTGGTTACCTCCAGTTGGGCTCTTAATGCCCTCAAATTAGTTATCAATGCCCCAGACGAGCTCTTCCGGCTCAAAGCATCTGCCACCACGTTTGCCTTGCCTGGGTGATACTCTATCACCAGATGGTAGTCTTTTATCAGCTCCATCCACCGTCTCTGTCTCATGTTTAGCTCTTTCTGAGTAAACACGTACTTCAAGCTCTTGTGATCAGTGTATATGTGACATGTCTCCCCGTAGAGATAATGTCTCCATATCTTCAGTGCAAATACCACTGCCCCGAGCTCCAAATCATGAGTAGGATAATTCACCTCATGCTTCTTCAATTGTCGTGAAGCATAGGCGATTACCCTCCCATTCTGCATCAGTACACATCCGAGCCCTTGAATGCTCGCATCGCTATAGACATCGTACCCCACACCTTGTTTGGGTAATGCAAGTACCGGTGCCTCAGTCAATCTCTTCTTTAGTTCCATGAACCCTTTCTCACATTTGTCATCCCATACAAACTTAGCTCCTTTACGAGTGAGCTTCGTCAATGGCGATGCCAAAACAGAGAACTTTTCCACGAACTTTCTATAGTAGCCTGCCAATCCAAGGAAACTACGAATTTCCTTGACGTTCTTTGGCCTCTCCCATTCAGTGATGGCTTCTATCTTCTTGTTATCAACAGCAACCCCCGATCCCGAAACCACGTGCCCGAGGAAGCCAATCTCCCTTAGCCAAAATTCACATTTAGAAAATTTGGCATAGAGTTGCTTCTCCCGTAGTGTTTCAAGAACAAGTATCAAGTGCTCCTCATGCTCTTCTTCACTCTTTGAGTAAATCAAGATGTCATCTATGAACACAATCACGAATCGATCCAAGTATTTATGGAATACTCGGTTCATCAAGTCCATGAATGCCGCCGGGGCGTTTGTTAACCCAAACGACATAACAAGGAACTCAAAATGCCCATACCTTGTGCGGAAAGCACTCTTTGGTATGTCATCTTCCTTAATCTTCAATTGATGGTACCCCGACCTCAAGTCAATCTTCGAAAACACGGTTGCTCCTCGTAGTTGATCAAACAAGTCATCAATCCTAGGCAACGGATACCTATTCTTGATTGTGACCTTGTTCAGTTGACGATAGTCAATGCACATTCGAAGTGTCCCATCTTTCTTTTTCACAAAAAGAACCGGTGCTCCCCACGGGGAGTGGCTTGGTCTAATGAAACCGTTATCCAAAAGCTCTTGCAATTGGGTTTTCAACTCGTTAAGTTCAGCGGGTGCCATCCGGTATGGCGGTATGGAGATTGGTTTGGTACCAGGCTCGACCTCGATCACAAATTCAATCTCTCTGTCAGGTGGAAGCCCCGGTAGGTCTTTAGGGAAGACATCCGGATACTTACAAACCACCCTCACATCATCGACGTTCGTTTCCTCTTTGGTTTTGTCAACCACGTATGCTAGATATGCGTGGCATCCCTTCCTCATCATATTTCTCGCTCTCACGGCGGATATGATACAACTATTTGATTTGCCGCGGTCCCCCTCGAAGCGTAGGGTGTCCCCCTGTGTGCCTTCGAGTTCCAACACCTTTGTGTAGCAATCTACCCTAGCATGATGCTTTTCTAGCCAATCCATCCCTAGGATTGCATCGAACTCCATCATACTCAGCGGTACGAAATCACACGTCAAGGTTTGGCCACCGATTTCCACCATACAAGATGGATAGTAATTGTTTCTTTCAACGTCTTCCCCTAGTGGGGTTGATACCACTAAGGTTTGTGTCATTGGTATTGATTGCATCTCTAAGCTCTCGGCAAACGCCTCACTCACGAATGAACGTTGCGCTCCGGTATCGATAAGGATTCGTGCATCCTTCCCGTTAATCTTTAATGTTCCTACATTTATACACCATGTAAGATACCTTTTCTAATGGTTTAGGACACTTTTTGGAGGTTAATAGGTTCATATAGATGTTCGGAATCAAACGGGGGTCCAATCGTAGAAGAACGAGAGGAAAAACTTAGGTTTCGGGCGGCTGGGGTCCACGCACGGTCGTGCGTGGGACACGCACGGTCGTGCGTGCATGGAAAATTCGCTTCCGGCTACTGCCGGTTACGCACGGTCGTGCGTACCCGGACACGCACGATCGTGCGTCCACGCACGGCGTGCGTACCGGCACGCACGGTCGTGCGTCCTGCGCGAACATCACCCGGAACCACTGCCCCCTACGCACGATCGTGCGTGGGGTTGGACGCACGATCGTGCGTCCCTGTTTTTTGGTCAGTTTTGGCCCGAATTTCGCCGTTTGACCCCGAAATGGCTCGCACTCAATCCCTATGACTTATGTCATCAATTTATGGATTAAATATGGACAAAATACAATTGTGCAAGAGGCAATACCTGCAACCGAGTCCGGGTTAGCTCGAGCATCCGCCTCCGTCATCGCATAAACTCTAGCTTGAGTTCTTCCTTGATTCACGGATGGCGCGTTGCTCGTACTCGCTCCCCCATGTCCCCGGCTCGCTTGAGAAGCTCCGGTTTGATTCCGTGTACCCGTCGGACCGCTACTCGGCCCCGATGTCCTTGCCCCACTCAATTGTGGGCAATGTGCCTTCAAATGCCCGGCATCCCCGCATTGAAAACATCTAGGGGGGTCGCGACATTTACCGGAGTGGTTCTTCTTGCAATTGTTGCAACGAGCTACCACTGAGGTTTGTGACCTCGCGCCTTGCCCACTCGGGCCTTGGTTCCCCCTATATGGTGGCGGTGGTGCCCGGAAAGATCCTCCTCCGTGGTTCCCCTTTTTGTTGGAACCTTGGGAGCCATGACTCTCCCACTTTCTCTTTTTCGCCTCCTCGGCGTCTCTCTTCTTCCTTTCTTCCCATTGCTTCTCTCCTTTCAACCCTTGGTCAACCACTTGGGCAAACGTCATGTTAGGCAATTGTGTTGCCCTGTCACGTATCTCCAAGTCTAGAGCATCCCAGAAGTGGTTCACCATCCGGTTCTCGTCACAAGCATACTCAGGTATGTAATCGGCAAGATCCCTGAACTTGTACTCAAGTTCCCTCACCGTCATGTTACCCCCTTGGGTTAGAAGGGTGTATTCCCTCACTTTCTTGTTCACCTCAAAATCCGAGTAATATTGGGCAAAGAATTCCTGTCGGAAATTCTCCCAAGTGACGGTCTCGCCATATTTGCCTTTGGTCCCATCCCACCACTTGGATGCCATACCCTCAAGCAATCTCACCGCAACCCTTAGTTTATATTCGGGGGTGAGTTGCATGTCCAGGGCTGCCTCATTCAGCCGCTTAATCCATTGTGCCGAAACGGAGATGTCACCCGTCCCATCGAACGGTTTGCACCCCAAGTCTCGTGCCTCTTTGATGTATTTGGAGATCCTTATGATTGGACCTCCATCACCCCGACCCCCATGTGGTTCAATGTGGGCCCTAGAGTCGCCATGGCTTCTCCCTCTTGAAGCCCCGCCCGAAGGTTGCCCAGCCCGGCGCCTTCGGCGTTCCCTCCTCTCCTCACGCTCACGGTGGTACTGTTGAAGTAGTGCTTCAATCCGTGCTAAGGAGCCATTTTCCTCCTCATCACTTACATCATCATCATCCCCTTCATAAGGGGTCTCAACCGGTTCAGTTTCCGGTCGATAGGTCGAGTCCTCATAGGACCAGTAGGTTTCACTTTCCGTGTCGACATGACCGTCACTCACGGTCTGTGATCGGCCTCCACGGCCAGCTCCTCTAGATGCCCTAGAGGTCCTTCGACTGCCCTGTCCAGTCTCCACTGGTACACGACCCGTCGGGTTTCTCCTAGTAATCCTGCCACCACGGTCCATTTCTGAAAGAAATTTGGAAGGAGTCGTTAGACTCGTATCAAATGTCAATTGACGGATAGGTACTTAAGACACATTTTGGCTCGAGTCACCGCCATACCAATTGCTAAGGGTACCATCTTAACAATTAGAGACCTTGCAACCCAAGTACCAAAAGCTCTCCAAGTACAAAACTTCTATGCTCATGGTTTTCAAAATCTTTTCAAAAAGAGAATTTTGAGACTTCATTATGAAGTTTATGGACTACGGCTCTGATACCAACTTAATTGTCACGCCCCGGACCTTCCCGGACACGTCAACAACCCGCCGTACAATACGAATAGTCAACCGCAGTCCAACACATTCATATTATACAAGGCGTCATGAATATCATTCACACATAAGTCATCCATAAACAACATAATAAGTAATTCATAAAGCAGCGGAAAACATTGTTTAAAACGAAAGAGCCACACAGGGCTATTCATGAGCACGCAGGCTCTATAATAAAATATCCATGAGCAAATTTATTAATGTTTCAAATAGAATGGAGGAAGCACGAACCAAGTCTTCTCTCCGAGGAATCACTCGATCAACGAGCACAGGATGCAAGCTCTAGCCTCAACCTGAAATGGTGGTGGGACGCCCCCGAAGGGGTCAGTACTCTATACGGCTATAAAGTACTGGTGTGGCAGGCATCTAATAGATATACAACAAGTATTTCAAACACAAGACCCTCAAATAGGGTGATAGTACATTATGATTGTAACCCTAAGTTACCCCGTTTAAAAATATACTTACTTTATATAAAAGTCAAGTAGTCGGCCCGTGGGCCCGTTTTCATTTGGAAATCACCATTCCCAACCCCGTGGCTATAAGCCACGACAACTCCTAGAGTCCAACCCTAGTACATGACATTGTATTCTAGAGCTCGGCTCTACTACATCACCATACAATTCATATACCTCGGGTCAATTTCCTTACCTTGCGTTCTAGAGCTCGGCTCTATTACATCACCACGCAAGTCCTAGAGCTCGGCTCTAGCTATACAATACATAGACTCCAAGTCTACACCTTACATGCATTCTAGAGCTCGGCTCTATTACATCACCATGCATTAAGGTCCAATTCTCAAGCAACCCTATGCCTAGAATTGACATATCATTAAACTACTTTGGGTCATCCTTAAAGACTTCCCATAACTTAACCTTAGTTCCAAACTAAGTTATTATATACACTTGAACTATATTCAAGTACCTTTCATACAATCCAATCCCTAGGATCAATTTAATCAACAGGTCCCAATAATCACTAACTAGTATTTCAATACTATTAAGATTATTGTTATCATACCATTATCCTCATTATTTGTAATTCTCTACATATTTATAATTATGTAGCAGCAACTTAAGTATTCAATCTCAATACACAAATATTTATTTATGTATCCACATAATCCATACATGAGCAAAATGCCCATTTTCACAAAATAGTTCATTTATACTCATTTAATCTCATATTACTCATACCTTCTCAAATCATTTCAAATTTCATTCCTTGGCAACTATATCAGTATTTCATCAATATATAATCATCATAATCCATGAAAAATCATGATTTAAGCATTTAGGTAATCTCATGCTTAACCTACAAGTTGTAAGCAATTAGATGTCAATCCTCACCTCAATTGAGCTTTAAACTTTCCCTTCTTGGTCCAATGGTCAAATCTTTGGTCAAGGTGGATTTGGGACTGATTCCTTGCTCAAATATGAGTGTTAAACAGCCTCCTCAAAGTGCTAGTTCAACCCTTAATCGTTGATACGAAAACAGCCCCTAGAACGGGTGTTTTCCGGCTAACTCGATTCCTAGTTTTCCAATATTTGCATCTAGGTTAGTATCTAACCTTTACATCAATAAGATAACTTTTTAGGGACATATTATACACTTGGATTAGTGTATAATAGTCTCACCAATCGTTCATATCATTTGGAGAATGAAAAGTAAAGCTTTGGGGTTAAAACTCACTTTAGAAGATTAAATCCTCTCCTGCGAGGTTGTGTTTTGCTCGGACGATTTGGAAGCCTTCCACAACTCCGATTCCTGCAAACCAGACCTTCACGGATTCCTCGTCTTGAGAGCTTTCTGTGGGTATCTCACACGCCTTAATTGGACTTGTAAAACTCGAGATATCGACCAAACAGTCTCAGCACTCTCACAGCTCGAGTTCACAGACCTTTGCTCGTTCCAGCTCGATTTTTGCAAGATAAGCCTTCTCTCCTCGAACAAAGACCACTCAATTGAGATAATAGACTTCAAAGGCTATCCAAGGACACCTCATACACGTTATTTGGTTGAGGATAGCTCCTATAATGAGAGGAGACAAACAGCACACCAATTTGTGCGAAAATAAGAGTGGTGGCCCCAAACTTTGATTCTTATCAAGTCATGTGCAGCTCTTCTCCATAATGGCCGGCCAAGGTAAGTCTCCTAACCCATTTTTATTTGTTTTGCAGGTACTAATACCATGTGGAGTGGTTCCCAATTGATCCCATTAAATTTGGGGTCCAAAATATCTACCAATACTTCCAAAAAATTGGGAAGATGGGTCCTATTGTTTTATCTTTGTCAAAGATGTCTTTTTGTACTCATCCTAATTTATTTAGAACAAGTCAACTTCCTAAATCACATTATTGATCTCCAATATGTGTAGGCTCATCCCAATAATTTACACGATGAAAATTACAAAAGAATGCGGGTTTGAACAATACAATATTCAATCATGTACTTCGTAAAATATTAATCGTTTCTCCCATTGTTTTGAAATTGGAAATTCAATACATCACTTTTGAATTTTTAAATCGAATTTTCAAGGACGTTCGGGTGCGGTGTCACACATGAAATTTGATAACTCAGTTCGCCACGAATGGCTACGTCTGGGGGCGCTACCAAGCCAGAAATATTATTGCTATTATCGGATCTACACACATGATTACAAGGGAGAGGGCTTGTATTTATAGAGAAGTAAAACCTAACCCCAAGGCAACTAGGATGCGTTTCCAAAAATAAATTGTTTCCAAAAATAAATTAAGAAAGACTTGGTTATACAGTCTCTAACACCTTACAAGTTCACCTACATTACAAGTAACGGGTCCAACACTTATGCCTAAAACACACAAAAAAATGTTCTTAGATTACATACATGCATCTTGTGTTGTGTATTTACAAAGAATACTAAACGGCAACCTATTCTGCCAGTACGAGGTGTGTGACATAAGGGATTCAAACTATCTTTTCAAACCAGTGACAATTCAACACCGTTAGTTCAGTAATTCAAAGCTTCACTTCTTAGGAGCCTATTTGTAGTTAATTTTTAGTATTTAATAGAACAACCATGCTAGGGGTACACAAGTTGTACACAACTTGTACACAAAATGTCGGTCACAGACAATTGGTACGGAATTGTTTGTGGTCACAGACAAGAGTTGTCTGTGTACACAAACAACTTTTGTCTGTGTCCACAGACATTTACTTTTTTGTAAAAAGTACGCTGACAGCCGCTTGACACTGACAACAGCTTGCAAATCAATCAATATATGTGCAGTGTCTTTGTGCACAGACAATATTTTCATGTTGCACAAACAATTATTTGTCTGTGTTCACAGACAACTTTTACAGCACATACAATAGTTGTGCGTTCCACAGACAATAGTTGTCTGTGTGATCAACTTTAGTTGTCTGTGTGATCAATTTTAATTTTCTGGGTGAACAAAAAACTCAATTTTCTATATACATCCAAATGAAGGATGTAGTTGTATGTGTAATCAATTTACATTAATTTGAATAAAATTAGAAACATAATAATAATATATGAAATAAGATGAATAAGTTGATTTTGTGCAAATAATGAAAAAATTTGATAAATAAAGGTAGAGAAAAAGAGGATGAAGAAGGAAAGAGGAAATGGAAGAAAATAATTTTGTTGTTGTTGAGAATTTTAGAAGAGGTTGGGTAAAGAGGAAAGAGAGAAGGGGGAGAGGAAGAAGAGAGAAGGAAGAGAGAAGGAAGAGAGAACCGAGAGAGGGAGAAGAGAGATGAGGAAATGAGATTTTTTTGGCTTTTATACCATGTACAACTTGTGTACATGGTGTGTATACTTACTTAGCATTTTCCTTAATAGAAAGTAGTTGTTAAAAAAATTCTAAACCTTTTTCTTCCAAATAAGAGAGTATATGTGTTGTACTAAGTTTTGGATAAAAAAAGTTGACATACTGAGATTGGTCTGCAGCTAGACCTGTCAATGGGTCGGGTCCGGGTCGGAACGTAGTGTTCCAAATCCGGACCCGCTAAGTAAATAAAGGACCCGGACCCGACCCGTTTACCGGCGGGTCTAAAAATTTGGACCTGGACCCGGACCCAATGGTTCTTGGAACCGGGTCGGGTAGACCCGCCAAGTATCATATGCACAACATTATATAACTTTTTTTTGACAGAACATTATATAATTTTAAAAAAATAGCAAAACATGTATATGAAATGTAAATCAATGTGCACAAATTTAAAAACAAAATATATCTTCACTTTTCAAAAAAATCGAGGTTTATCATAGAAAATTAGTACTTTTATCCAATAAAATATCGGTTCTTGTAGATACGTACAATTCCGCACTTTGTGTCTCTTTCTCTCCCACAGAAACTCGTATATTAGACTAGAAATTAGGTCACAAAAAGTTCTTTTGGACTAAGAGCATATTATATACTACGTACTATTATATTATCACTTATATATTAGGTATGTATTAATTCATTTCTTTTTAATCAAAGATTTAAAACTAATCACTTTATATGTATTAGTTTGTATTTTTATTTGAAGTATTATAACTAATCTCTTTGTGTATTAGTGTGTGTGTGTGTGTATACTAATAAGAAATTTTAAACGGGTCCGGGTCCTTAACGGTTCGGAATCATAAGTACCATACCCGACCCGTTTATTAAAAGTACAAACGGGTTCGGGTAAACGGAATAAAATAAGGACCCATACCCGTTAAAAAAACCGGGTCCGGGTCGGGTCCGGGTCTAGACCCGACCCATTGACAGGCCTATCTGCAGCCCATTACTTTGACAATATCAAACTTTTAAGAGGCTACAGAAAACTAAAATACTAAGAGCATCTCCAATGCAAGGGTGTGGTCTCTTACACACCCTTACACATGGGTCCCATTTTTTATCTCACAAATTTTATGTGTAGGACCCACATATTTCCCAATTTATTTTCATTTTCATTTTTTTATATCACTTTTAACCCACTTTTCATCAACTTTTCCTCCTCGAATCCCGTGTAAGGTCCATATATGGACCTTGTCATAGACCTTGGTCCATTTTTACCTCTATCTCTCTCCTCTTTTTCATTTTTCCCTACACACCACTTCATCCCAATATTTATTCTATCTCTATCTCTCTCCTATGCCACATCAGATGCAATGCACCCTCCCATTGGAGATGCTCTAACTGATCTCTCTTAACATTTAATGCAATGCATATATGAAGTAAGACGTACAAAAAAAGTGATTTACTTTAATGATTGCCATTAATGCAATGAGATTTGCCTTTTCAAGTACTCCCTTTTCACCCTCCACATTTTGATAACATTAAAATTAGACACGAGATATCTATCGGTAGGTATCTCAATGTAGACTACATGTTAGATAAAGACCGGTAAGTATTCCTTGTAAATTGGCTACAAATCATTCAACTAAGATTAGACAAGAAGTTTGGCACGAGGGCAAAAGATCTGCATAGAGAAAGTATATATAAAAAGAGAAAGCAGATGCAGAATGTAAATAGGTGACAACTCCGGTACCCATTTAAAAAATGGGGTACCGTACCTACCATGCATTTGATTGGTCCAAATCATTAAATCCCTTTTAATTTAGATTCAAATAATTCAATTGCATGATTCTGATTGGTCCATGTGGACAAAGGTACGGTACCTTATGGATACCATAGAATCTACCATGTAAATAATTCAAGAGATCAGAGATTAGTGAAAGAAACACTTTAGAGTAACCCGCTGCACAGGTTTGTCTATGCATGTATTTAGATTTTATTGAGAGTGAGTTAAGAGCATAAGACATTGACTTTAATAAATTGGAAATACACAGAATGTCATTAATAAAAATGAACATTGTCCCAAGTGTGCCTCCATATAGTTAAAACGCTGCTACTCATCACTTTCTGCACTTGCCCGCTACCACATCAAATTGGAGCTTACTTGGTTGAGATCTACCAGTAGCTGGGGAAGAAGAAAACTGTTGCATTTTTGTTATGGTGGTTTGGAGCACTTGGCGAGCAAGAAATCCGAAATGCTGGAAACACAAGGACAATGCAGCGGGGAGTGTTGTCAGGGAAACTCGAAGATGGAACGAGCTCGGGGATTGGCGAGTTGGTCTACACTCTACACCCGGGCTACGCCAATTAAAATTGAATGCAGATGCTAGCGTATTCAACTGATAAATTCCTTTGTGATTTTAAATATGTATAGGCAAAGGTCATTTGGGTTAATGGAAAATTGAACATTTTGGTACATGAAATGTTTTTTTTTTTTTTAAGAAAAAATAAGTGAAATTTTGGGGGGGCTAGGCCTGACCCAAAATTAAAAAAACGAATTAAAACCTGAACCTAGGCATTCCGAAAAGATCAGCATAATAACTTGTTTTAACCCGGCTAGGCAAAAGCCCAACCCGATCGAAACGAACACAAAGGGCCTGTTCAATCCTATGGGCCGCTAGAAAATGAGCCGGCCCATTACCTTCTCTAAAAACATGATCAAATGATAGGCCCATGTCCAGTGCCCGCCTTCTGAATTCCCTCAACCCAGCGGAGTTTCCTGAATCGTCTTGAAGCATGGCCAAAGTTCGAACAGCATCAGTCTCAACATGGACATCAGTGTATCCCTCCGCCATAACCATGTCAGACGCCTGCACTAATGCTTTAAATTCCGCTTCCTCACTCGTATCAGCCTGAAGATGGAAGACCACAACATAAATCATCTCGCCAATTTGATTTCTCAGAATGGCTCCGCCTTGAGCAAATCCAGGTAAGAAAGTTGCATCTATATTAAGCTTGTAGCTTTTATTAGGCCTCTTCCACCGAATAACCTGAAATAATGATGATTTGTACCTGAAATTGGATAAAATCAAATGCTCCCTGAAAAGAAAATCATCAATAAGTTTGGGCTTTAATTTTGTCAGTTTACACACCCATCTTTGAGTATAGCCTTTGATTTGGCTAATAAGGCACCCTGGTAAAGGGATGGCACTCGAACCCCACATGAATGAAGAATAAGCCTTCCAAAGATGCCAACAAACAATTCCCGGCAAATTGTGCTTAAAGATATCAGCCATTCTTCTGGAACCAGCTTCTAACCACCAAGAAATTAATACTTGTTTAACTGTTGAAACTCTAGTCACAGAGATTCCAAAGACTCCCATAAAATAGCCCCAAACTTCCTTTGAATAGGAACATCCAAAGATAATGTGAAAAGTAGATTCGCTATGTCTTTTACAAAAGGGGCATCTAGAGGGTTGCATTACTAAGTTAAGCCTCTGCAGATTCTCTGGAAAAGGAAGATAAGAATTAAGAAGTTTCCAAAGAAAAACCTTAATAGACATATGCTGATGTTTGTTCCAGATGTGCTTATCCGAGAAAGTTACTGATCTACATTCTCTTATTTCATGATATGCAGATGAAAGAGAGAATAACCCATTGATACTGGGATTCCACAAAATATTCCCTTCCTCAGATGTTGAACAAAGGTCTGTAGCTAGGTCATTAATCTCTGATGGTCCCGGATAGGGTAAAAGTCTAGAGGGGGGTGAATAGACTTTTAAA